ATTTATCATATTCACTGACTTCGATCCTACAAGAAGTCTCACAGTCTAAGACGACGATCCACCTCGTTGTGTCCGGCCTCTTCCTGATGCGGGTGCTAAAAGCGGTTACGTGGCTGTTGTCTGCTCTCACTGCGAGGGTCCAGGGGCATTTTCACGAGGCATCTACCAGTCCAGTAGTTGGAGGGAGAAGGTAAAGGAGGAGGGATCAGAGAAGGAAGGAAGGAAAAGAAGGAAGGAGGAAGAAAAAATGAAAGAGAGGAGAGGCTTCCCGGTTGACAAGTGCCCTGAGACGGAACCAACCCAAGCAGCCACCAGGACGATTCCTCTGTTGGGCGACCGTCACCTGCACCAGTGCGGCATAGCGATTGTCTTGTCACATCCCCGGTTGTTTGTTGTAAGTTTTCGCTTCTTTTCGAAGTAATGGGGAATGAATCGTCCAGGTGATTCCATAAAGAGGGTTTGCGAAAAGAAACAACAGAAAGAGATGTGTTTGCCTGGGAAGAGTTACTCTTTTACCGAGTTAGAGGCAACACCGATGGGATCGAAAGAGGTAGCGTATCTCATTTAGCTCGTGCATGTCTGGGGTGCGCGCCCATTTTTTTGCACGTGTCCGCTGTTGTCATGGTTTTGTCTGATAGCCATAAACCTTCATGATTCATAGCTAGTACAAAAACACTGCCGAGGCTGTAATTTTCTGCGGCACTAGAAGTGATATCGAGGAGGCTATGTACTTGAGCAAGATCTAGGTAGTTAGGCGTGGCAGTTCAGCTTATGTAGTTTTGAATAACTGATATTTGAAAAGTAGGGCTGAATCTTTTTGGTTTTCCGGGATATTTCTTAGATTTAGTCTTTAATCGCGACCTTTCCAAATAGTCGCCTATTTGAGGTCTCCAGCAGGAGAATTTGTTTGTTTTGTAAATTTTTTTATGAATGCGGATTAGTTCTTATCCCCTCTGTTGGTTTGCGTTATCGTTGGTCGTTCGGTGGCTGCCATGCACTTTTGAATTTTTGGGAAACCATCCTGTAATTTTCACATAGCTCGTGGTTTTCATATGCTTTGAATCACCCAATAACATTAGCGTTTTCGATTGCCTTCCGTCGCTGTCGATGTTGTTGAAGAAGAACCTAAATCCAGACGATACAGCATTTAGTGCTGGTATCTACTGCTTTTATTCGTACCGTTGTCTGTTTTGTTGTTGTTGTTGATCAAATAAAGAGAAGAGTTCTACAGCATTATCCCGAAATTTCCGTGATGCGGTTTAAGAGTCCGTGTTGTAACAGCTGAACTATTTCATAACTTTTCATAAAACTTGTTTTTGCCCTGTTATTCTCCTTCCATTCGCTTTAAATTCTATTCAGTATGTCCATGAAAACATTTTAGATTTTTGTTCAATTGACATATTCAGATCGGCCTGATTGGATTTCACAGGAAAAAAGTATGAGCCAAAACCGCTCACTTGGCGAAGGTCGCATATGTAGGGTAAGGCTTTGAGGATTATCAAAATCAATAGTTCTTATTTTTCATTTCGACTTCAGAACCTATTAAGCAAGAGTTAGGAAGTCGTTAAGACTCTGCGGTCTGACGTGTTGCCTTGTACTTTTGTTCTGACGGTGAGAAGGAACGCCCTCAACCTTTGAACTGTCTACACATGATCCTGGGAGTGCAGCTAGACCTACCTTGTTTGTGAGCAAAAAGGTAACATAAGGAGCGCAAACATGTTGAAATTGACGCGAAAAGCTCCAAAATTCGCTAATTGGCCGTAAAGTAGGGCATATTTTCCAAACGGATTTGTTTCTTCCATTTTGTGCGTAGTCTGTGTAGATAGCAATTAAGAGTGGTCAGTGAGCATGCAAGTGCTCTACGAATAAGTCTCGTGCGCTGCGGATAAAGGGGCGTGTCAAGTGGATTGGGTTTGGCGCGGCAGCAAATCCGATACCAGTTGTTGAAGTGGTCGAGTGACTACAGTTGATGAAATGTTGAAGCGAGCATTCCATTCCGCCTGACATGTTCCTTCAGCTGCAGCTACGAAAACTGTACTTTTATCCATTCCGGAAAGTAGCAACGCTCCATCAAGTCATTCACCCTAATAGCTATAATTGTTTTGAGTTTCCTGAACTACTTGAACCCTGAAAGGTTTACAAGTGTAGTATCGGCTATTAGCGCAACAAAATGATAGCACAACTGATTGGCACTGGCCGCTGTCACTATTGTGTGGAAGTGTCTTGATGGAGAGGCTGTAACAAATAGAGTCACACCCTGGTATTTTACCCTTTGTTTCCTATCAGAGAGTCAGACTTCACAGGAAACCGGCGGATAATAGTAGGAATCTGGTATTTGAATAATGGGTATTGGACTGCCTTTCCAAATGATTATCTCAACCAAAGGATCGCATTAAACGAGGAATTTGTCAAAAAGTAGGCCAGGTCAAGAGAGAGGTATGGGGCGTAACGTCTACGGCCTATTTCGCGGCGAGGATGGCCAAAGAGTCTTTGCTGATGACGTGACCTGCGCGGCATTTACACCACGGTCTACCATTCAATATCCTTGTATTGCAGCATATCGAGTCAACTAGTTATGAAATGTTTTGCTGGTCTACGCGTGTCATCGCAGTGGGTAGGTAGTGGCTAGGACACTCAAGTGAAGTGTTGTTGTCGAGTACGTTGATTACCCCGGCTAACATGGATTTTTGCTTCTATTATCAACATAAACCAAGAACGCTAATTTCTCTATGTCTCATAGGCTTCCCCTATGTCGCGAAAACATCTTGCGTATGCTGCGGCTTGTGCAGTCTTGTTCGCTGCAGGCGATTGGGCTTGTCAGGGAGGATGGTTTTGACACACCTTTTCTTTTTTTTCCTGTCGATAAGCGACGCGACTGTATCATATCGTTCGTATCAGTCGTTTTTTGCGAACTAGCGCTGGTTACCCGCTTCAGAAACTGATGCGGTAGGAGCTAGCGGCTCCCCAAACCCAGCCGCAGTGACACGCTTGATCATCCGCAGCGAACAAGACAGTATCTCATCTTTTGTATGTTGTGGAGGGTCCCGGTGATGGCCATAATCTTCGTAATGCGTGAGGAGAATGCTATGGTCTGTGATCGGTCATCTCAGCTGATCAAACAAGATAAGTTAGGCTTGACAACAGTGAGATTACTACGAATGCATTTCGGTTGTTTTCTGGCACATTCTAGCCCTTTTCAGGATGCTTAATGTCAGATTTGTATTCCTTCCTTTGATAAGTTCTTGCTTTCACGAGAGAATTTATTAAAATGTGTTCATAACGCATTACATTCGTTAAAAGCGGCCTCCCAAATCGACTTAGACCTTCAGAGCGTAAAGAGGCAGAATTATCGTGAAACACGACCATTGGCGGATTCATTAGTAGAGCAAGACGGTTCAGTTTTTTTTACGAGAGCGAAAAAGCCATTAATTACCATGCCATATCGTAGTAAGCTGCTGTTCTTCTGTAATTCCATGAAGCTGCAGGAGAAGTCCTCTTTATCCTAAACTTGAGTCGTTTTAGATGATGAAAAAGTATGCATATATAAATGATGAGCGATTGGGGAATGTTTATTTTCCTATAGCAGCAGCATGTATATCTGGAGAATGCAGTGATCTTCGCGAAAAATTTACGGTCAGTTCCTTTTGTTTTTGTTGTTCATTTTCTAATGTTTTGCTTTTTTGATCATTTTTTATGGTGGTTGGTTTTGACGCTTTTGTGGCATAGTGTGAACCTGCACTTGGATGCACATTACGTCACAAAACAGATTTGTTTACAAAAATGTGAGATCACGAGTCTGTAAGTTATCATTTTCCAGCCTGATGAAGAAGTTATATTCACGGCGCAGAAGCAAGCGCAACCCCAAAATGACTGTCAGTTTGTCGCAACGTCTGTTATAAAGAAACGTGAATTGATACCTGTATCTGGAAAAATATGTGAAATTTACGATAAGTATGTTCTCATGATCGTTTGTGCGACACTGTTGGTTGATGTACATCGTACTTTTTTTTCACTCTTTGCTTTGATTAATTCTCTCTTTTTTGACTATATCTTCTTAGCATCACTTCTAGTACTGTGAGATCTTGTTCCTCTCAGCGGCAGCAATGTCGTGCTGGGGGTGCGTAGCAGAATGGAAACGTTTAGCCGTCAGTAAGCAAGCCCTCTGTTAGGGAGCGCAGCCAGCTATCAAGTGTTCTTGAAGACAAAATGTACGCATACCTCCGCGGATCCTGGTCCTTGCCATGCGCGACTGTGTCCTCACCTGCAGTAGCGTACCACTCTCCCTGATAAAAAAAATGCACGGGAACGGGGCTGGAAGATAGTGGTATCCTGGTGTCGTCTCCATACTCCATCCTTGCTGCCGCACGTCCTAACCATAGCGAAATAGCGAAACGCGCTACTCGTCTGCGCTACGTCTCACTTATGGATAATTACCTTCAGCCGTGATTGTGTTTCGCTGCGGAATCTTGGTATCGATGTAAGCGCTGCACAACGAAGGTAAAGTGGCCGGAGTATGGAAACAGTACTCTCCAGTCCCGTTCCCGTGCGTTTTGTGGCGAAGAGAGTGACATGCTATTGCAGGTGTGGATCCATTCAGTCGCACATGGATTTGGAGATTAGTGTGCAGTTTGTTTTAACTTAGCACATTTTCCCTTCTGTGCTCTGTTTCCCACGCTAACCCTATGAATCCTTTACATTGCTGGCTCTTCTGCTCTTTTCATCGATATCTTTTCTTGACTTATTTACACAATTCCCTGTTTTTCTGAAAGCGTCTGTAGAATTCATAGTGTTAGCGTGGGGAAAAAGAGCATAGAAGGGAGAACGTGCGAAGTTAAAAACAAACTGGTCTTTAATCTCCAAATCCAGCGCTGGTGAACCCTTAAGCTTACTTAAGATTTACTACGCTTTGGACTGAAGTCGGCTATTCCGATAGTGTAGGGTGCATAACATCCACCATTCTGCGATTCATGTCGATTTCTCGTCACCAGTTCCTCTTTTTTCCCCCTTGAAGGCGAGCTTCTAACAATAAATGAATGATTGTGATAATCTCACTTAATGGCTCGCCATAAGCACTATGAGATTTCATACGGTGCTTCAGAGCTGACGGAAGATATCATCAATATTGTGCTGCCTATGATTAAGTTTAGCAGTCCGATTCTAGTTTGTGAACTCCAGTTCCGTTACTTATAGATATTGTTACGCTGAAGTTAAAAAATATGGGCGAGTTTTCGTACCTTATTCGGCTAGAAACGATTTCAACAAGCTCAACAAACCATGGTTGGGATATGGTGCTGAAATGGATAAGACTATCCAGTTGAAGGTGAATACTTTACGCGATGGTTTACTACATTTAGCCCTTCCCTATTTAGTTAGGGGAGGAGTTGCTTGTCCCTTCTCTATTTGGTCAGGGGAGGAGTTGCTTGTATTCTGTGCTTGTGTCAGTAGAGCTGCTACCTCAACTTCCAAATGGGAAATTTATTTGTGCATCCATCGTACTGCCGAAATATCCCGATAGTCTCGATACTGTAGTGGGTAAGGGCACGTACATACTTCCCCAACTTCTCCGATCGATAGAATCGCTAAAAGCACGCGTTTTGAGCGATTGCATCGCGAAATATGAACATGACCTAAGCGATGTATACTGATAACATAGGTGCTGGTTCGAATCCCGTAGAAAACCACGCGTTTTTTTTTTGCTGATGGGCATCCTTGTGTCTTCAATACTAAATTCCAATCAGGCTGTGATTCTGGAGAGGTACAGTGAGAGGGTGATTGTAGGAAGTATAAGGGTCTTACTGATTATTGTTGTGATTCAGATTTTTCGCCAACCGGACATCAAGAATTGCCGATATGTTGCCTGGAGTATAAATATGAATCTTGTAGATGAGAAGAAAGGTTTTGAAAAAGTTCCCGATAGAGCCAATGGTCAGGTAGGTGATTGTGTGGAATAGTTGGCGCTAGCTGGCAAAAAGTGAGATAAAATCCATTCGGATTCTGTAAAAACTCGTGGTCACAGTTTTTTGATAATTTAAATTCACGCTGGATTGGAAGATTGCTGCTGTGACGCGCGACTGCGGCTAAATGACCGACGAAAATTGGTTGAAATTGATCTAAGTCTATTAATTAAATTTAATTGAAAGTTACAGTTGTTAGTCCCCAAGCTGGAGAATTTATTTTGCATATTTAGATCGGTGTTATTGTTGTTATTCCATCGGATGGCGATTTAACCGTATATTCTTCGGTGAGTTTTATCTCTTTTAACTTTTCTCACAATAAGGTAAGAATGTGATCCGCAGATTTCATTGACCTTCACTTGTATCCAGATGAAATTGTAAAAAAAACCGTAAACAGTGCAGCGGCGCCGGTTTGTATCATTAACATACCTGATTTTTGCCTTCTATACACTCTTTATGTGGACCTGAAAAGCGCCTTAACCTAATAGTACAATTTACTGCTTGCTTAATTCTTTTATTAAAGCTGCAGTAGCTTGCCACTTTGTCCGGTCAATAGTGCTCAGAAGTGCTGGAAGGTAATGATGCTCCGTTGTCGTTTCCATTCTTTAGATGCGCTGTTGAGCCCCAAGCATACGCGTACAAATAGCCGAATGCGCTACTTAGTTCCCTATACTTGTAATATGGCTATTCGCTATGTCTGTCTGCTGATCGCTGCTTGGAGTCGGGAATGAGATTGGTATTGGCACAAGTGCTGCAACGGGTGCAGTCGGGAGACGGCGCTCGGGTATCGCCACTGTGCATATCGGCTTATTTGCAGCTGACTCATCTGGGATGGCAAAAACAGTGACCTACTCGAGGGCGACACCTCTCCAGTCACGGCGCAACCAAAGCAAAGATCAACGACACATCAAACCACGATTCAGAATGGGATCGGATTGAGGTGTCGAATATAAGTCGGGTGCATGGCGCATGCTCTCTCTATCTGAACTCCCATCACTGGTTTTTTTCTTTAGATCGAGTTTGACTTATGGACAGTAATGGAAGTGCTCTTCTGGACATTATATATATTTTTTTCCGAAGCTAGTTTGATGAAATGTCCGTACTCACCTGGTGACCATTCTTATTAGTGTTTTATGTTCGGTTCTTGGGTCAGTAACATCAGCTCAACCTTTTCTTCCATTTTGTTGTTGGTGATTGTTTGATTTTGTTCCAGCAATCTGGGAAAGCAACGCTACCTTCGTATTTGCGAGAGTCGTGGATGAGTATTGGAACGTGTATTCGCTATGACGTTGTTAAACAAGTTGATACGGAGTCAAAAGCTATCTGGATAGTGCGGAACGTTGAAAATCTTGGACTGGTGAGTGCAGAGCTATTATATCCCGTGAATGGCGGATCGCTAAGTGAAATTGGAGAGTTGATTCGCGAGATATGAACCCAGATTCAGTTACCGTGAAATGAAAGGGGTCCACTGGTAGTCTCTGCGATCAGCGGTGTTCTAGAACGCTTAAAGACAAGGTTACCGAGCAGTGTCAGGCCTATGATGCACGATGGTAGTGAGCTCTGATCCACGCGCAAGAAATGAAACGCTGGCGCGGCGCCAGGTGTTTTCGCTTTGAGTGGATATGATATTCATAATTATTAATTAATTGTAACCAATGACCTCATGATGGCTTTCAAGATCCTCACTGGTAGAGCAACGGTCAAATCGGATGAATTCTTTACTTTAGTCACCTCTAGGAGTAGAGGGAGCACTATCAAGATCAGGGCCCCTGTATCGAGAACGCAAGTCAGGTCTAAATTCTTTGTGATCAGGGTGCTTCACTTATTGAACAAAATTTTTGGCCCAGATATTTTCCAAATGACACCTGGAGCCTTTCGTATAAGGGCCACCAGGCTAGTTAATTCAGAGGTCTCCTAAGTTCTCACATTTATGGGATTTGTCTTACTTCAATTGATGTACTTGCCGATTGTGATTGTACAATTATGTAGCGCAGTTTCACTGCGTCCACAAATAAATAAATAAATAAATATTGACTCAGATGATTCTCGCGATCGGAATTTCAGCCTAGTATAACGACGAATTTCGGTTGAAAATGTTCTCTGAATCAAGGAGAGTGGGACAGGGGGTTGATAGTTCTGGCTATTCAATTTTCACCATGTGACTTTTTCAGTTATATGAAATTATTGTTGATAATAAGGATCCGTGCAAATTATTGTTGCGTTTGAATGCTGTTGTTAATCGAGTCTCATCTAGTACGCATAATGCATGGCTATGGAACGATATTATTGGTAGGTGAAGATCTTCTTGTGTTATAAATGGAATTGTTGTAGTGGCAAGGGGTCCCTCACGGCCCATGTGGCAGTTAGCTCCAGTTAAGGCCCTCTGGCCAACAGCAATTCATCTTTTTGGAGTGGGTCGAGCGATATAATGTTTGCTTGGAAAAAACCGTGAGATGCATATTGCCTTCCCCCAGTAAATCATTGTATAGGCCCAATCGCGTTCAAATGCCGTCAGGGTTTGGATGAAACATGGAACCGTGGCGCATCTAAGGCAGGGTTCGATTATCGCCGAATGTTTATGACTACATAGGTTCTATGTATCTCTTGATTGCAAGTGAGAAAGGTATCTTTCAGGTAGAATTTTTGTTCCTACTCAACAGTTCAGTCATCGTTTACGTGCAATGATTTGTGTGAGGATAGTTGCATCATGGACTGGTACATTTGAAGACGTTCCATGGACTGCAACAGATCTGGAAGTAAGTGTTTCACTGCTTTTGCTTTAGTTCAGAATGTCGGCTTCTCAGGTGTTCCTAGTTGCTCGACTTTTTTTTTGCTTAATGAAGTTAGCAAGATTGGTGAAGCGCAGGCGCGATGTGATAGTTTTTTGAGATGCCTCCCCTAGCGCATCAGGAATGGCTGGTTTTTTTTATTGTAATAAACTATTTTTGATTCTTGAACGCCAAATGTGAACCGCCCGATGAGAACGATATTACTGTTGAATCGTATGCAATACAATGTTTTGAATTCAACAATGCAATACAATGGATTTGGAACCTTCATGTGCACTTCTGAGCGAAGAAAGTGGCACATGTTCTTGACAAAACTGGCTTGCTCAGAGCTTTTGCTTGGTGAAAAAGTGCTCGAAAGCCGTTGCTACCCTCAATATTTGATCGCTGGGTTGTGCTGCACTGCGGCAAAAATTCGCGCCTTCTGTACACTCCATAGAATATGTACTACCCATACTGCTTTAAAAATTGAGCTTGTGCCCGAGAGTCAACCGACTAGAACTCTTTTTAAATTGTGAATATGGATTCACGACTTTATTAGAAGATTTAATGTAAGGTTTGCTATTTCTACAAATTGTAGACCGAAGATGGCGCATAGGGTTCTCTCGGACAAATCGCCAATAGAGCATTTTGGACTGCCATGAATACTAATCTACCGTTGTTCCCTGATTTTTTTACATGGTCCTTTTCCAGTTTCTAACGTCTTTAGTTCAAGAACTTTCTAGATTCTCGGTGATGATGCTGCTATACGTGTCCAAAATGCTTCCTTACTCCAGACGGATGATAACTGGACGGTAAATATTATTAGAGAGGTAAGCTATATCTGACGTTGACCGAAAATCAGAAGATTTACCGCGCTTCTTAGGTTTCAAATATAAATACAAATCAACCTACATTTTTTGGATTCATCAGTAATCCGAAGTATGGCTCAGCGTTCATTGCATGGACAGATTTAACACAGGGTGATTCTCCTCCTTCCCCGGATACTAAGTGCAGGTGAGAAATTGCTTGTATTTGCTCCCCGATAACTATGGTCGTCATCAAGGGACCTTGATTAGGGCGGCAAGGGTCGCGACGCGGCTGCGGCGTGTCACGAGCGCGGCGATCAGCTGTTTCCAGCCTATTTTAGCCATTTTCTCCCTAATTTACACTGTTATGGCTGCTTTTCTCGAGATTAGTTGTTCCTTGTCTTCACAAGGTAAATTATGATTGAGATTCCTCTGTTTTTTGCGCACAATTAAACAGTTAGGCAGACAACTGAAAAAAAAGCCGCAAAAACACTCTTTTGCAGAAACAAAAAAAGCCTCCATGCTCCAACGTACTTCATAGAAGAAATGAAACAACTAACCTTAAGAAAAATAGAGCCATTGAAAATTGGGGAGAAATTGGCCAAATTAGGCTGGAAACAGCTGGTCGCCGCTGCGAAGCGCCAAAGCCGCGCCGCGACCCTTGCCGCCCTAATCAAGTCCTCGGATACTGAGGGACTGAATAGCCTAGTTTCTCACGAATTACATTTTACATATCATTTTAGTTTTTGATGGTGCGTATTAGGGGAGGACTGGCAGTGCCTTTGTAAACCTTATAGCTCTCCGGGGGTGAGGGCTTTTTGTACTTTGCTGGTGCATGTTCAGGTCTCACTTTGATGAGACCTGCAACATTGTGTGAATGTGCGAAGTGGTTCGAGTGTGCCGCTTTAGTTTTTGCAGGATGTGACAGGTGTTCACATGGTTGCCTATACAAGTTCCGCTGAGTACCATTTGGTGCCCCACCAGCCGCACTGTGCCAAAAAAGAAAAACCTCCCTACTTTGTCATTGTACGATCAAAACAGTTGCATTGTTATGTTTCAGGGCTACTGTATTTTTTCAATCTCGGAATGGCAAGCATTCTTGGAGAGCTGTGCTGGTGACGCCGTTGGGCAGTGACGGATTTCCCATCTGGCAGCATCCACAATATAACCATTCTGGACGGCTATCTCTTCCTGAGCATCCTTATCAGGTACGTGCATCAACATGGAATAGGTGCAGCAACCTATGAAGATCTAAAAATCGTCAAAACACTAGCAGTTGCTTGAAAAATCAAACTTCTCCTTTTTGGCGACATCTCTGAATCCTCTTTTCCAGATCTGCGTTCATGTTGTTTTCTATTTCAGGCCCAAAAAGATGCTGTGCAAAGCACTGTTGCCGTGAATAATAAGAAAGAAACTTTTGAGACTTTTGACGCAGTTTTCAAGCCGGACAATACTGTAAGAGCACAAAATTTCTTTCTAAAAAATGGAAAACTTTTTGTATGGGACTTTTGGAGATTTAATTATGGAGCGCAAATAATTTTCACGCTGATTGCAGAACGAGTCATGCATGCTGTTCCTTTCCCCCGTCTTTTAGGGTAGAGGCCTACCAGTGCGAAAGGAACAATGCTAGGCCTGACTCGTCCTACTTGACCAGCGTTGAATGTGCCTCTTTGAATATCAATGAAGCTCTAGTCTGCTAAAAGATTCCGGAGCGCTCCAAGAGTACGTGAAATGGAAAACTTGCCTGAATGGGGTTATCAGTGGCTCTCGACAGGAAGGGAGCGATATCTCCAAGCTTTGATTCTATCTCGTGAACTAAAACACACTGTGCACTCACTACCAAGGACGGTCTTCGCCAGTTGCGAGGGTCCGCAGCTACAGGAGTGTGCCTTTTTCTCCGCAGAAAAGTACACCGAAACGGGGCTGGAGGGTAGTAACACCAGGGGCCTCTCCTGGTGTCTCCGCCTGTGCTATACTCAGGGTGCAGCACTCACGTCGATACTAAAATCCCGCCGCGAACACCCAGTCGTAGCTAGAGAACAATCGGAAGTGAGAGGGCGCGAACAAGTAGCGCGTTAGGCTATGGATAGGCGAGTGGCTGACCGTGCGACAGCGTATAGAAACGACGCACGGGGATCGCTACCCTCCATCCCCTTTCCTGTGGTTTCAGCGAAGAAAGTGATTCGCTACTGCAACGCGGACCTATTCATCTCACACATGGCGAGCACCAGGATCCACAGAGGTGGTGTACAGTTCGTTCTTGAATGGTTTCTGGGACTAACGACTAATTTTGAGAGATCTGATGGCTTACTGGCATTATGGCGATCTTCATTTTTAGTGGTGCTCCTTTTCTGTGTGTTTCCTTAGACTGTCCTGATATTTTGCTGATTCAATTCAATCATTTCACTTGGACACATAGGTGATCTGCGTCTTTTATCTGCTGGTCCTAGTCGCTGAGCCATGCGTACACTCAACTCCGTAGATTCTGGTCCTTGCCATTTGTAGAGAGAGCAGGTCCGCAGCTGTAGTAGTGTGAAACGCCTACTACAGCTGCGGACCTGCTCTCTCTACAAATGACTACTTTCGCCGGTGAAACGTATATGGGAACAGGGCTGAGGGATAGTGATGCCCAGTGCCTACTCCCTCTGCCGCACGGCCAGCAGCACACCTCACCTTAGCCGATTGCGCTACTCGTCAGCGCCTTCTTACTTATAGGTATTCTCTACCACTAAATTTTTGTTCCGCTGCGGGACCATATCAATGGAAGCGCACATAGAAGTAGCGCTGCCGGAGTATGGAGACGGCACCTGGGCACCGCCCTGTTCACTTACCACGCTGCTGCAGCCGCGGACCCATCCACCTCGCACATGACAAAGACCATCCTCGTTGGTGAGTCTACCGTTTGTCTTCAACCTACTGTACTCGTATTATGGTCAGAATGTGTTCTATTCTGAGCAAATCTTAGGAATCAGCTTCACCCTGGTCCCTAGAAAACAAATTGACGATCAAAGATGACGTTGAAATCATTTCACATCAGCATGTTTTTTCCTGCTTATGTAAACTTTTCAGTTGCCACCTCCAACGTTGCCGGCAGTGAACACGATACCATTGAGTAGCCCTCTTGCACCTCTAGATGTTTCCAAGAAGCAGGACAAGTTATTCTCACCTGTGGCTGCGACAGCGCTGGAAAATATGTCGCCATTGTCGTCGATTGTTAGCGAGTCACCAGAAGTATCACCAGCACCATACTTGTTCTCGTCGGACGTTACTGATAGTTACTTGAACCAAGACATACTCGATCATCTCGACCTTGGCAAATATACTTCTGTTTTATTTCCACACTCCAATAGCGACCGCATATGGGCATCAACGAAGCCGATTGGCGTGTTTTCTTCATCGATGGCATCGACCGATCCTCTTCTGACACCAGCATCTCGGTGAGAATACACAATTATTAAAATACGTGTTGTAGATGTTTTTGTCGTTCACCGCACTGGCAAATCTCACAATTAGCTGATGGATCAGTTCCCCTTGCACAAATCCACGATTGCGACAATTGTACCGTTCTTGGAATAAACCTGATGCACGCGCGAAGCAAGTGTTTCGTTTAATCTCAGGAATTCCGTTTCTCTGCATTGGTTATAGTAACTTTAAGTGCTTGGAATTGAAGGACTTTCTTGTACGGTTACCTCAAGAGAAGGCTTCTTTGCATGCTGAGTACGTTCCCAGCTGATGAAAAGTGCCACTTTTGCGGCTCGGGAGGGAGTGGCAGTGAAGCTAGAGGTTTGCACGGCCTGATAATCATGATTTCTCCCCTCGCCACTCTATACTTCCGTTATTAACGCGCTTCTGCTCTCATAGAGAGAGTGTTTTATTGGTCCAATTAGGGTCGGTTAGGACACTCGTGAAGTGATTCGCTCTTGTAAAGGTTGAAATGACTAGAATATACCTCACCCAGGGCACGTTTTATTTTGGAGGTCCCTAACGAGAAGGTCGTATTGATCCTCGTATTGGTTGGTTCTTTGGGAGGTGGTTCGTATTTGTCTTTTTCTATATTTGTAAGATGTGTTTTTGGCTCTCAACTTGTCTCAGTTTTTCTTGTTCCAGGTGTGTCTTGTCCCCCCCTCCCCTACCCCGTCTCCCTCCACTTTACCCTTGTTTTCGGAAACAGGTGGAGGAATTTTCGAAACGAATCACGGAAAACGGTAGGAAGCTGGAAAATTTTGAAAAGATGGTAGGTAGGATTAGAATTTGGAGGGGAATCGTCTGCTGCAAAAATTCTTCCTAGCGGCAGGACGTGCCCTGCTCACCGACCTCAGCCAAGTCAAACGAACAGTTTCAATGAGAAGGCGCTGTCATGTAGAGCGCGTATGGCGCATTCAAGGGAGCGCGGAGACATTAACAACATCCAGCCGCCATAGGCTTCTAGCTTTAGTGCCATGCACTTTCGAGCGGCTATAGAGATACAACTTTCTGCTGATGTAGGGTTGCCCACTCACAGGAAAGAACCACCCCTCAGGTATTCATACCGTGCGTCTTTAAGTTCAATAATTGCACAGTGTTAAATACGATGCTTCCAGGATCTGTGAAATAGATCTGCTTTTATTCTAGTTCGTCGCCCACATCTCCCACAAGTAGCGATGCGGCCACACAGACGGACATCATGTCTGAGCAGGAAGTATTAAAGGATATAATGGAGAATAAAGATTTGTTTTTTAAGGTTAGTCTTGTAGGGCCGGGGGCTAAATTTTTGAGATGTGATTGAGAGCTTCTTAAACGCCAGTTTGCCCTCGAATTTCGAATATTTGTATGCTTTCAGGTTGCGGAAAGTCTTCCACAGCATTACAATAGGTTGATGGATATACGTTTGCAGAGGATTTGAAATATAAGATGTTGATGGTATTGAACGTAATCCTGACATTAATGTTGGAATAATATGAAGTTCACCATTATTTGTAGATCCTAAACGTTATTCGAAGAATTACAGAGTAGCGAAAGTATGAATTAAAGGATTATTCTCGTAGTGTATAAATTACAAATCATGCTTTACGAAACTGTAGTTCGACGTCTCCAGGTAGAAACAGAGGAATAGGTCAAGTAAGGACATGAACGTAGAACCACATGGTCTGTTCCCCTGTAGTCCACCTAACATACCTACCTATGAGTTGCTAATATTACAGTAGCGCCGTAAAATACAAGAATTGCAAGAGAAGGGATGATGATGTCGAGGTGGTCTGATCAGTTGAACTCATCTCTGTACCCCAACGACAGCTAATCAAGGGATTGTCGACAGGCGGATTAGAGTCGAGTAACCGGTCTGCTTCAACGTGGAATTTTGTAGACTATATTTTCCCAGCAGTGACGAATAGCGTTTTCCCAGTCGTTTCCAATTCTG